AATCGATTATAAAATGTAACTGAAAATATATTCGTAAATTTTTTAACGTTTCTATGGACATATTTTTCAATGACTCAGTATGTGGATGAGATTTTAAATCAAAATTCAAAAAACATCATAAATAATTCATTTTTGGTAAATAGGTTAAGCTGTTTGCGACAAATATTTTAATTCTATTGACGTACACAGCAATTCATAATAAATCAATATTAAATTATTCATTGCTAATAAAATGAAGTTTTAACATTTCGATGGTGTAAAATTTGATATTTGCTATAGCGTACGGTAACTTGATGGATTGATTAACACATACATCTTAGAATTAAATATTTCAGGAAAATTCAATTATGCTTAACCAGCCATGAATGGCTTTTATTGTAGAAGTAAAAATGACCATGTAATATAATGAATTAGAAAATCATAAGTGGATTTACTGTTGACAAAAAAAGTATGTTGATATCTTTGTAGGTCATCATTATTAAATTCATAGTAATAATTAGCACTAATATTTTGAAAACATCAATATAGTTTTCTGGACAAGCTTATCATTTAACGGTAATTACATAGTAATAGGTTAATACGAAAATCATAAAAACTGTAATATCTTTAAATGTTCGTTTTCTACGAGTATGCGATTTATCTTATTGTTGACGTATTTGTCTACATCAAATAAATTAACTGTTTGTAGTGACACTTTTCACAAATAATATATCCCCCCTAAAAAAACCTAACGGTGGAAAAGGCCAAGTTCCAAACTTCCTACCAAAAAAATCGGCCTATCAAAGTAGTGAAATCTACATTGTGGCCAAGTCTGGTATTTTTTTAATTCATAACCTCACTGCACTCCTACATTAAAGAGCAACACTCCTCTTTTATTTGTATTGTTTAACACTTGGCCAGTTTCTGAATGAGGCATAAACTAAACTTGACCGCAATGTGGATACCACTACCTATTCGCTGTCTTTTTTGAGAAGAAATCTAAACCTTTTTCTTTTTTTTTTTGAGTTTTCTTCTCCCCGTCAGCCACGTTAGTCATAAATGAGTACATTCGATAATGATGTTATATGCCTCATTCAAAAACTGAACAAGTGTTAAACAATAAAAATAAAAAAGGAGTGTTGCTATTTAATGTAGCAGTGCAGTGAGGTTGTTTTGAGGCATCGGATAAGAAAGAAAAATTGGGCCTATCGTTAAAAATTGAAAATTAAATTTTAATTTTTAACAATAACCAATGAAAACTTAACATTAAATTAGACAAAATTTTAATGTAGTAGTCAGTGCAAATTCTTCAAAATGTTTATCATTTTTTTTTCTAGTATTTTATTTAGCTAATACTACAATAACTCCCAAAATTGATATTTGGAGTGATGTTATTTTCAATAGATATGATATCTAATGAATATGGAAATCTAATATCCAATTTTTTTGGGCTTTAGATAATTTTAATCTGTTTTTAATTCATTTGAGAAATGAAAATGACCTTTCACTGGGACAATTAGTTACTGCCATTGTCAAAAATATATGCAAATATATTTCTATATTATGAAAAATATGAGAAATTTTCAGTTTTAATAAATTGAATTTGGTCTGATGGAGTTATTTTTCTATTTATATCATTCGTCGATGAAATTAAACTGGAGTTAAATACATTCTTTTACAAAGTACTTAGCGTCAAATTTTTATTCGTTTTCATACATCGAAATTAACGTTTTAACTTCTATCGTCATTTCATTTCGAGAAATCCAAATGTTGTTGCTAATTTATTATAAAAGTATCTTCGCTTTTTTATCCCGACCAATAAAGTATCCTACATTGCAAAATGAGTATCACTCATATACTTTTATCTTGAATTTAGTTGTCTTTCTTCAGAATTTATGTAGTCCAAATTTTTACTTCTTGGTACTTTTGTTATGACAATTTTGCGTGTCTTATAATATATATGATTCATTTCCATAAACTTCAAAATGTTTTTGGGCACATTATATGAAGCCCAACAAAGAACTATATCGTCGGTTATAAGGCTATTTGGTGTAATCGACACATTTCATACTTTTCAGGAGGACCCAAAAACGATTTTGTCTTTATTTTTATTTTTTTTTCAAATGCCATACAAAAATGTATTAAGTGAAACATATCTCCATCATTACGAATAATGCATAAATTTAAATAAGTTTTTTCTTAATAAATTTGAATAAAATGTACTATTATTTTAGGATTCATTATAAAATTTTTAATTTTTTTTCTTTTTAAAAATATTTTTTCTAATAAAAATAAAAATGAACAAAAAAAAAAAAAAAATTAAAATATTATAACTATAGTTCAATAATAATAAACAAAATACAACTCGTTCAATAAAATTAACACAATATTACAATAACATTGAAATACAATAAAAAAATTATTTTTAATTTTAATAACAGTTATAATTAAAAAACAACTCTTAAATATTGTTACCTCATGTGATCCATGTTTTCTTAATCAAATTTGATAATTCTATTGTTATCATCATCAGTATAAAAAATAATAATTGTTATCATGAATTGTTTTTTAAAATTATAAATCAGCTTTTAACTTTTCAGTTGTCATAATCTTTAAAATTACACTGAACTAACCAGAAAATCGTTGTCACTTAGAACATTTTTTTTTCTAAATTATAAGATATTATTCATTTGTTTACATAAAAAATATGCTGTAAGTGACGAATTAAATTGTTACAAACGACTATACGGCGTATACGTCATTACTAAAAAAAAAAAATTGGGCACCTAACACAATATTATTACGTCGTTTACTGTTCACTCAATTAATAATAATGTTGCCTACATTAAATATTATCGTTTATACAACACTTTTTTCATATTTACCGTGAAAAACATAAAGTTTGATCATCGATAACAGATTATAAAATTATAATACACTATAATGAAAACTATGGATTCAGTAGAGCTTCGTTTACAATGTTAGTTGTACCAAGTGTTGCTTACCGGTGCAACACGATTGTGCAATTTTTCCTTTTTTGACTCGACTAATTACACCACGATTGCGTTCCGATCCCTTTTTACCTGGTAAAATCACAACACCATTGTATACCAATTTATATGTGTATATATTATGTATAATAATTTATGTACAACCCAATATAATGTATACAATACATCAGGTGTGTATTTATTGGGAGGGGAGCAAGGGGGCCAAAGCCCCCTCCGAAATGAAAAACACCATTGTTGAAGATTGTTATTTTTAACATAAATATGTTTTAATGCTGGGGGTTTCCGAAAATTTGTCGCGACACTGAGAATGTTACTTATGCGATAATTTAAAATTTTATGTTTATAAAATATGTTTATTCTTTCAAGAAAATATGTGGTGAATTTCAAGTGACTAATAAAAAAATTGTTTATAACTATGTTTTATACTTTTAAAAAATTATAAATCATTAAAAAAATTGAGTTTCTTATTCCTCCGATGATGTAAAGACAGTCGAGAAGTCTTATAGTGTTAAATTAATATTTATCGTAATAGTGTGCTTCATCCTTCCTTTCCCCTAAAAAATCAAATACATAATCGGCCCCCTCCGAAATGAAAACCTATACATGCCACTGTAATACATACTTTATATTATTTGTATATACATGCACTCAAACGGTAATTCACAAAATGCATTTTTTCAAAGTCGAAATGAAAAGTTGATTGAGCTAATGATAGTTATAATAAAAATATCCACTAAAATCTATATTAGAGAGATTTATGGATTGCCATTACAAAGATAAAATATGTTTAAAATTAAAAAAAAAATTAATCGAGTGTAGAAAAAGAGAAAAACAGTCATGTTAATTTGACAAGTTTGGAAGACCAAATAAAATATCAAAAAGAATGGCCGAGTAATTACATAGGCTATTAAAATTTTACACATAAGGAAAGTTTATGAAATAGGAACCACTTTTTTGAACCAAAATTATATACTGTAAATACATAAAATGTAATTTTATAATAATGAATTATATAATGTGATGAATTTAATGAAAATAATTGTGTTTATATAAATGTATTTATTATTTAAGTTGATATTTTTGGCCAAAATAATTGCATTCGCTGGATTTAAATCATAAATAATTAATTAATTAGATATTTTAATAAAAAACTTCATTTCCAGAAATGTGTAAACATTTCCAAGAAATTAAAGTACTTATACCTACGTATAACAATGGATTTTTTAAAGTAAATGCAATGGCCAGGTTAACCTATTAACAGTAGCGGATCTACGGACGGAGGGGTTACCCACCATTGCTGCACCCTATAATTTTTCTATATCAGTGTTGCCCAATTTTTTTTTTACTTATGCTTCTTTCAAATTTAAAAAATCCTAAAAAATCCCCTCCTTCCTCCCAAATAAATAAATACATTTCTTTTTATCAATTAATTAACTAAAGTAAAACATAAAACTATAAACGATTTCCATTTTTATATACTAAATTATTATATCTACTAAAAATATAAATTCAAATCTGCTATTAAATAGTAACATACTTGTGATTTATATAAAGTATTTTTGTTAGTCTTATCTGATTGTTTTTACATGAAGTAATTTTTAATTCTTGAAAGTTTCGTAGTTTCATTATTGAACATTTTTTCACAAATAATATACAAGGATAATTTTTCGTTTGTTAGAGGTACAGTAATATCAAATTGTAAATATTCAATAGAATATTTTCCTAATTTTTTATTTTTGGATATATACTTTTATAGTAACAAAAATGTAGCTTTAACGGATATGCACAATAAATTATAACTTCTTGTAATAAATGCAAGTATACGAGATAGTATCACCCACCTTGGGAACCGTTGGATTATATATTTTGTCAAACATGAATGTATACATTTGTTTTATATCAGAGCAATTATTGCGTATGTTATTTTTAGTTCCATTCGACTAATTGATTACATTTTACGTATTAGCCCCCTTAAAAGTGTGCACCGGCGAAGTTAAAAATGTACGTAAAATGCCTTTAGCCGAAGACCTTGTTACTGCGATAGAAAAACTGGTAGGAGATTTGCCAAAATGTGCTTACAACCTTTGCATGATTGGTTAGATCTTTCTTGTTATTTCTGATTATCTAATTTTTTTAACCATCCATTGCTTTAACATTTTCATACCTTAACTTATACCTAACAAATATGTAGTTGATTATAATAGTCTGGTTTTCAATACAAGTAATAAGCGAAAAATAATCGCCTTGATAAATAATTTTCAATACTAAATTTGAAAAGAAAGTTCGAGATATCAAAAATTTGTAACTTTTCATTTATTATGGAGTTAACAAGATTATTTAAACATTAAGTGTTATTGTTATTATTAATGAATTTGAATTATTTGAGATATCGAAAATTTCGAGTTATCAAGGTTCGAGTTACTGAGAGTCGATTGTATTATCTTTCGCTATGTCTGGTATGTTTTTTAAAAAAATTTTTGAAATATAGTACTTAATTGAAAATATCATATTTTATTATTTATTTATTTTTTTTTTTTTTGTTGTAAGATATCAACAAAACAATTAAAAATATGAATACTTTTGACAATGTAGTGCAAAGCTTCTTATAATTTTTTTTTTTTTTTGTCATCCGGAATTACCGATTAGGCAATACTACGGAAAATTAAACTTACCTTTAATGTGTTTTAATTGTGTTCTACTACTTTATTAACTATTTTTGAAAATTTAAACTCATCCAACCGATCTCTTTTGAGAGCAACGTTACATTGGTTTCAAGTTTAACAGACCAATATAGCAATGACATTTACCCATCCCTGTGTCTCACCCGACCTAGGAATATCGCCCTTTTCTTAGATTAAACTGTTTCATATTTTTATTAAACGACATGTTATCACACAGATATTTATAGGCAATTAAAAAATCGTAAATTTATTATTTCAACGTCAAAAGTCCTTACGGCCAGTAATCTCCAACATATCTCCGACCCGTAGCCGAAAGGACGAATCCGCGGTTCCCAGCTACCGCAAAGCGAAAAGGATTGAACCCAAAGCGCAGAGGTAAAACCACTGCCATTCAACGGTGACTAGGGCTAGATAAAAGGGGGAGCCTTTAGGGGCTATATGCTCCGGGCTGCAAGTTGAAATGGACCGCAATAAGCAGTCAATTTTTTTTTTGACATAAAATGGCGTCAAATAAATATTAAAAAATAAAATGTTAATTGTAATTTTCAACAATATACAAATAAACCAAAGTAGTTTGAATTAATATTTATTACAAATGACTAAATCTGAAAAAATAGAAATGTTTTTTTTTTTTTTTGTAAAAGGGCCACACTAAAAGCAATAGGCCCCTCATATTACGGTCGTAATCCGGCCCTGATGTTCGGTCATCCGGAGAACACGCGCGCGTAGATACGAGTACATAATAATAGAGATGTCGTGGCGTAGAATCAATGCATCCACCCCTCTCGCCCCACAACCGACCACAAAATGTTTTTTCACGACTTGTACTTTTTCGCGTACTCGTTCGGGCGGCGGAGCTCCTCCCACGCGTGGCACTACGAGCTTTCGTATCGAACGAAGTACGCGTATTATGCACGTACATTTGTCGGTTTTCTCTCTTTTTTTTTCGCTCCTCGTTTTTATTTATTTCCATTTTTTCTTTTCGTTTTACCACCACGCGCCCGTTCTTCCGTCATTTACACCGTACGCGGTCTGGCGGGTGCGTTTCGCGCTGCGATATTATTGCAACGCTCCACGTCACGCCCACCCACTTCGCGCTCAGAGACATTACAATGATGACGATAATAAAAATAATAATAATAGTGATAATCAAACGACAGCAAACACAACGATAATAATAACGATAACTCGACGGAGCTCGCGCGGCCGATAACGTAACCGATTGTTGTCTGAGGTAGACTTTATTGTAACACGCGTATGTGTTATATTGAACGATTGTAGTAAAAAAAAAAAAAAATTGTTTGGAACCCAGCGCGAGAGGTAACACGATCGAGCTGCGAAGATGTCGTCCGCTGTCACACCGCGGTCCCATTGTGCGGCGGACGGGATTTACATATTTTCACCAATAAAACATCACACAAACGTCGAATCTCGCGTTGACAATAATGGAAACGATCGGATTCACATCGCACTCGAATCTCATTATTATTTCACGAACGCGTTCGATTATGTTATTATTGCTGTTGTTGTTGCGGGCCAGGTGCAGTCGACGTATTGTGCTTGACACTGTTTACGCGTGTTTACCGTGCAGGGCGCTTCTTGTTTTGATAGCCCGTGTACGTCGTCGTGAGATCTCCTCCGTTGGTGTGCTGCACCAGTGCAACGTCGGTCGACGAAACGTGTCAAATCCGATAATAATACTGACAACAACGCCGTCGCCTCTCGCCGGTATTACGTTACACGGTTGTACGTGTGTTTCGATTCTAAGCGACACCGATCATCGCGAGGCCGTGAAAAAAAAAAACCACAAGCTCCTCTTTCTGTCCGGTGTCGTGGACGTTACGCGTGTCACTCGAATGACACGGCCCTGCCGGAGACCACCGGAGCTTCGGACCGATATCTGTAACGCGATCGCAAATTCGATTCGCGAGGAACGAATAATGCGTCGAAAAAGTATTACGTGCAGATTCGTACTTGCTATTTACACCGTTCTACGTGTTGCAACGATACGATAACGATCGAGTCGAATTAAAATTGAATCCGAAAACTTTAACCTTACTCGATCCGAAAAAAAAAAACCGTCCTCTGTAGATGTGTTTTGGATGACAACTGCGAAATGTTTTTACTTTGCACGCGATAGGTATCTATTTTTTATTCTTGTTGTTCGATCGGAATATAGTCTACATAATTTCTGTTAACGAATATGATTCACAATCACTGTGAAACTGTCCATACACTGTGTAATCTCAAGGTTTTCTCATCGAAATCATGTCGAGCATAGGACTACAGTCTATAACTGATTAAATTCTCTGTATTTCGACTAAAATATATAATATTTATCACTTGTGCTGTAGTAATATTAAACTGTACAGTATAATCATTTTTGTAGTTTTACTGTTTAAGTTATTTGTACGACGGCACTCAATAGTTATTCCTACTTTTTAACTTTTCCGATATTATATCAACATATATATCAATATGTAAAAAAAAAACCAATTTCAAAAGTGTTTTGTTGCGGACTTCAAACGGTATTAAGTTAGACATTTTATTGACTCTAGTTTTACATAATTTTTAATTTAATGTATTGGGTTCATTGCATTATTAATTTGGCGAGTTATTTGTTTAAGTGAGTTGGATACTACGGGTTAACATTAAACAAATTGTACAAACTGTGTAACTGCCACAAATGTTTGAGCTTTTGAAATTCGATGGTAAATATGGGTTTTAATACTTGTAATAATGTTATAAATATTGCACCTGTTAAAAAAGCGTATTATTTTTGTACAAATATTAGTTCACGCGTTTCAAAAACACCGAGTTGAATACTTTTTATTGATTAGTTATTTCAGTTTTCGGAGGAATATTTAACTATGTATGTAAAAGTACTTAAATTTTGAAATATGTAATATTAATATGCGAACGATTCAAATACTACTTATGTCAACAAAATATCGAACTTAACGTGTTTAACGTTAGTTAATAGTGGAAGATATAAAAACCAGAGCCGATTTATCATCAAATACGTCTTATAAAATACATCCGATAAAAGAGTATATCCGTGAAAATGAAAATGTATTTTGTATACATTTAATTATTATTATTTTTCTTTTCCTATAAAAGTTTCTTTTTCGGTATTTTTCGTATAAACAGTACTTTAAACTGAAAGTATTTGGGAACCGTTTTATTTTTATGCGATTTAGCATTACTCGTATTATTGTACGTTGTTCAGCGGTTTACCAGTATGTCTTCCGAATAAACTTGAACTATTAAAAAAACAAATTCAGTTAATCATGATTTTTCGAATTTCAATACCATTGGAAAAGCTTTCGTGAATAGTAACGTAATCTAAACGTTATTATTGTTCCGAAATCACGAGCGGTAAAAAAAAAAAAAATGATAATAGTAATAATCATTGACACACGAGCGAAGTCCCTCTGTGTAATATTTGTGTACCCCGTGTAGCAATCAGACCGTCAACGGTCTTACCTGTCAGCGAATCACGCCACATTGGGGAACGATCTCTCGTGGTAGAAATGTGGGGGAAACCAAAATTGCAACCCTCGTATTCATTCATTGTGGTACGGTTATTATTTTTATTTTTTTATTTTTTATTTTTTTTTTTAATGGCGTCTTTTTGTCACCCGCAGCGTTCGGAACTTGGCAACCATATTACTGTTGGTGCGAATTTCTTTTGTCCCCCGTGTGTGTATATTTGTATTATTCGCCCGGATGAATGGATCGCCAAAGGGAATTATTCCTAAACGGGATTTGAGGGGTTGGTTGTGAATGCAAATGGCCGACGCTCCTCTCCACCACCGCCACCACCACCGCCGCCGCCGCTGTCACTTAGGCGATCGGATAATTATTAAATTTTTTTTAAAAAAACGCACCGCTGCAGTCGGAGAAGGGAAATGGACGGAAGAATTAGTACTTTCCATTCGGTGACCGAAACGCGTGTGTCCATGGACGTTCGGACGGAAATCCATTGCTGGCAGCAGATGTTTTAATATTGTTCGGTTTTGACGCAACGTTTAAAGAGCGTGGAATAAATTATTAAACGCTGCTAGTTTGCTTCCCGACGTGCGCGCCACAGAATAAAAAATAAATAATAGAAAACAATAACAATGATGATTAAAAAAAAAAAAAAAAAAATAAGTAATTGTGTATTTGTGTACAACATTACGTACCCATGTAACGTGTATGTTGTGCGTGCGCGATATTTGCGTTTTGTATTTTTAAGTACCATACACCGCACGGAAAAGTAACATATCGCACTTGAAGTATTCCTCCGCACGTCAAACGCGCGCAAGCTTCAGCGTGTCACGTTCTTCTTTCCAATACGGTTCGACGACTAAATTTGTTTCGCCGCCCGTTACTCGAACCCTTCTACGTACGTAGACCGGAATTCTATTCA